TTAACGTTCTTTTACTGTTAAATTGTCAGTAGAGAACAATGGAGAGTTATTAACACACGTAATAAAACCTAACATCTGTGTAATGAGTAAACGGTAGGCTTGAGTGAAAGTCTAGTCTGAAGTCTGCTAAATCTCAGGTGTACCTGCATATTTGTTGTGACTGAAAAGACAAGACTTGGGTGAGAAAGAAACCATCTACAGAATATCAGAAAGTTTTAGAGAATGAATTATTCATTTTTTTACATGTGCTTTTTTTTGTCAATTTTCATTTGTAATGTTTTTTTTTGTCAGAGGGTCATTGCAATACAACTTTGACAAAAATTTCAGTGCCTCACCATAAAGACATTTTGTTTTGTCGCTCAGGAAAAACAAAATATGTTAATGTGACGTTACTTCCACCAGATGGGGGATGTTGAATCATTTTAATGCTGTAGAAATTTAACGTTTAACTTTTTATTGCTTGTTATCATAACCGCATTGCTTTCTAAAAAAACTCTAAATGTTGATCATCACGTTTAGTATGTACTGATTTTGTTGTATATAAATAAAGCTATTTTGATTAAAAACTTGTGAAATTTGAAAGGCATTTACTTGCTGGGCTTATAAATACACAGTCATTATTGTAACATGTATAACTCTACTGGCAGGTAACTTTAATTATAGTTCTTCTGTTTACTAATATACCACAAAATCTATGGTCGTATCTGAAATATAACTTTTTACCATCATCACCTTTATAAAAGATTAACAGAACTATTTATTCTCACCATCGCTACACACTGTTGAGTTGTTAAGCATCTTGAGCCACAGTGATATATCTACTATACAACATGGCTACACACTGTTGAGTTGTTAAACATCTTGAGCCACAGTGATATATCTATTATACAACATGGCTACACACTGTTGAGTTGTTAAGCATCTTGAGCCACAGTGATATATCTACTATACACCATGGCTACACACTGTTGAGTTGTTAAGCATCCTGAGCCACAGCAATATCTACTATACACCATGGCTACACACTGTTGAGTTGTTAAGCATCTTGAGCCACAGCGATATCTACTATACACCATGGCTACACACTGTTGAGTTGTTAAGCATCTTGAGCCACAGTGATATATCTATTATACAACATGGCTACACACTGTTGAGTTGTTAAGCATCTTGAGCCACAGTGATATATCTATTATACACCATCGCTACACACTGTTGAGTTGTTAAGCATCTTGAGCCACAGTGATATCTACTATACAACATGGCTACACACTGTTGAGTTGTTAAGCATCTTGAGCCACAGTGATATATCTATTATACAACATGGCTACACACTGTTGAGTTGTTAAGCATCTTGAGCCACAGTGATATATCTATTATACAACATGGCTACACACTGTTAAGTTGTTAAGCATCTTGAGCCACAGCGATCTCTATCCTACACTCCAAGTTGTTAAGAACGAGGTGTTCATAGTGGTAATCTTGTAACACACTGCTGTTATACCAAAACCTGACTTTAATTGTAGAAGCTGCTACAGTTATGTGGTTATCATGATCCGTGTTGTAATTCTACAGTCATTTTTTAGCCTCTCACTTCCACGTACGTACAGATTAGTAGAAAACATCTCTGTTAGTTCCTTCCCAAAAAAATCAAACATGTACAAAAAAAAGAAAATTTTTATTTCAAACTACTTGTTTGTTTCTGTACACACCTACAAGAAAAACAGAATCAGTATTTTTTAATATCTACCTCAGCTAATCACCATGCACAATTTGTTAAATACACAGTAAATAAACCTGTTATATCAAAATATAATCTCATCATGACTTTCTGTTGTTGTTGTTGTTAATATGATAACATACCAGTTATAAAGTTATACCTGGCATGCTTTGAAAACGATTAATTCACCCAAGTAAAGTGTCTCGTTATGTTCCCCTAAATATAAGACACTGTGTTAGGGTTATTTTCACTATGTTTGAAGTATGTTAAAACAAGAACCAATTTTAGTGGATTTTTCTGTAAATCAAAAGAATCTATCATGTAAGTAAGTAAGGTAGGAGTTAATCCAACCTCGTGTAATTACCGTTGACATTCATGTACTTTACTCCCTGAACATCAAGTAGTTACAACAGGGGGCCTGTTTTGTCTAACCTAACTGTTCTAGTAAGAAAGAAATCATTTTTATCTTTCGTTACTAAACCATAAAAAGTTTCAAATGACACAAATTTTCAATAAAATATTTTCATCAAATCTTTCAGAAGCTATTCAACCCAAATACACCAAAAACAAACCAGTGCTAACTTTAGTACCGTGTTCGTGTGTGTGTATGAGGTCGCAAAGTTGTCTTTTGATAACAATGGCATACAGCCCTGAGAAACTGTATTTACACGTGATGTATACATTTCCTGCAAAAAAAAAATATTATGAACATTTCTTTTTTCAGGGGTGAGCTATATAGTTTGAAATTAAGAAAACTTAATGGCAGACATATATATATATATACATACATGGCAATTAATCAATCAAACCATGTAAAACTAGTTGTTGAACATGCAAGGACAACGGTAACAAATACACAGTGTATTAACTTGCCTGACAAGTCTGTTTTAAACTGTAACAAATACACGGTGTATTAATGACAACTACAACATGCCTGACAAGTCTGTTTTAAACTGTAACAAATACACGGTGTATTAATGACAACTACAACATGCCTGACAAGTCTGTTTTAAACTGTAACAAAT